CAAATACTTTGCCGCCTCTAGTTTACCATTACCAGCAGCATTCATTAAGGGCGTCCAACCGTTAGCAGTTCGAGCTTCGATATCAGGCACATAGTGAAGAAGCAGCTCAATTACATCCGGGCACCCACCCTGTGAGGCACAATGTAACGAATTCCATCCAGAAGGATCTTCTTGAGAAGGATCAGAGCCATTTTCAATAAGGTACCTTGCAATCTGAGGCTTTCCATAGGAAGCGGAAACAGCGATCATTAGTGGAGTCCATCCTTTCCAATCCTTTGATTCAATATCAGGCATATAATTCAGAATGAGGTTTATGATGTCAAGGTTGCAACCCTTTGAAGAAAAATGTAATGCATTCCATCCGTCACAATCGACTAGAGAGGGATCTGCTCCCTTTTCTAGTAAGTAGCTGACAGCATGTATCTTGTCATAGAATGCACTGATCATTAGTGGTGTTCTTCCTGTGCTATCTCTTATGTCAACAGGACATCCAAGAGAGAGTAGAGCCTCCATTTCAGTGATGCTGCCATTCAGTGAAGCTAGGTGCAACGGATGAAATTCTTTTTTTTCTTCACCCTCCGAAGTTTCACCTAAAATAACTAGGAACTTTAGAAAAAGTTGTAAAGAGGTATATGAATGGATATAAAGGACAGAAAGAGGCGAGTGGCTTTCAATAATGTAGTGGTGGCTCACTTGAATGAAGATGCACAATAATGGATATGACTTAACATAACATGTATCTATAGGAATGTGACTTTATCCTGCAATAATCAAGCCTACAGCAAACAAAATGACCCCTTTTTAAACCTTTATCTTCTCCTACCACACAAAGTCATGAAATAGAAATACTCAGCCTCTGAATTTTAGTTATCACGCAGCGTAACAATCCTCAATACACTGCACAGAATCTAGGATTCAACTTATCAAAACCTCAGTAATCAAGAATTTGTGGGGAACATGACGAGCTTTGCTCAAGGAAAAAATTCTCAGCAGGCATCGTAAACTGATGCCGAGGTTTGGGGANATTGTATCTGATTTATCATCACGGGTTTATTACGAATCAACTTAACGGCCTGCTCCCAGTTGGCTTGTTAGCTCAATTGGTAGAACGCTGCACTAGTATCGCAGAGGTCAGTGGTTCGAATCCCGTACTGGCCTGATTTTTTTCAGGTCTGATTTTCGCTATTGCATAAATAGCGCTCTCTACTGCGAGGATCGTGCATCATACGTATTATTATCATCAAGCTGTCACACTAATATTCAATATGATGTGTACAAATCCACAAAGGAAGTTCTTAAGAATTTCTGTTCTAATCAAGAGGACAAACTGCAACACCACCTAACATCCCAAGGTTTCTTCTTCTCAAATGTCATCAAGTATTTATTGTCATCCGCTAATTTTATTTGGTCAGTGGCCCAGTCTCATCTACCGAAGAACATTTACAACTTTACCATCCGCTAAATCAACAACTCTCTTCCTTCACGTAAGAATTTGGTAAGATGGGGATTATCACAAAGTCCTGATTGTTCCTTTTGCCTTAATCCTGAGTCACTCCCTCATGTTGTCGCTGGTTGTCAACAATGCCTTGATCGCTTTACCTGGAGATACGACTCAATCCTTAACTTCATTGCCAAGCCCGGAAATGAAGGGGCCCTTCAACCTGTAATTAATGTTAGCTCCTCACTCTATGCAAATGTTACTGGTTCTCTAAATCCCTCAATAGTAACTGGTGAAAATTATCGCCCAGATCTTCTTTTCCTAATCCAGTCCAAGTGCCTATATGTTCTAGAATTAACAGTTGGTTTCGAATCTAACCAGTACAACAATGCAGTACGTAAAAAATAAAAATATCGGAACTTGATTAACGAAATGAGTAGAACTTTCAGATGTGTGAACTTTGTAAATCTCTCCATGAGCTCCCTTGGCGTTTTCTCAGATGAATGCTCTACGTTCTTAGCCATGATGAATGACATAGGCATTGAGAAAAAGGAGCAACTTTACATCATCAAGAAAATGGTAAATATAGCTATTAGAGCAATATATTACGTCTTTGTTGTAGAAATAGGACTTGGGATAATCCAGATTTGATGCAATTTTGATTTTTGTGTGTGGGTTTGTTACGTGCACGAAGGACCAACAAATGTCCGCTACAAAGCATATATGAAAATAGACTCCCGAGTACGATATATGGCACGCAACAAAAATGTAACAACAAGCAGTTACCCATTTTAACTATTATTTAATTAGTTTTACACTGTCTAATTTACTTAGGTTAACGATTAAGTTAAGCAGTTCATAAAGCAGGCTTACAATCCTTCATGCCGTGTAAGTGTTCGTNCAATCCAATTTCCTAAACAGTTGTACGCTATTCGCTTTAGTGTCAGCTCCGAGAATTACACGTGCCGCGCGTTTCTGAAGTTTAGACTTTCTGCAAATTCTCAGCAGAACAAGATGTCCATATGGTTGATGCATAAAGCATTGTCTGCTTGATCATAGCATTATAATAAAGTTTTCTTTGATCAATGGGTAAAAAGCGTCTTATTTTTCGCAGCACGGCAATTCTCTGCGATAACTTCGTGCATAGATTTTCGACCTGTTGGTCGAAAGTAAGCTGGCTGTCAATCGTGACACCAAATAGTTGGCGAAAGATGATCGCGAAAAAGCGATTGCATTAAGCATCTTCACTCATAGTTATACCTTTAGTCTTTCAAAGAGCTTTGACTCGGTTAACTACGACGAGTATTTTAATTAAAATCGAAACTCCTTCGAAGAAGGGTCGAGTTAAATTTTAACGTGGCAGCATTACCTCGGAAATGTGATAAAGTCGTCCCCGTCTAATTTCGGAAGGTGGCTATCAATTGGTCTCCCGTCGACATATCGATTTGTTTACATCTGAGTGAGTGATACCTTGGCATATTCTGCTCCATTCTAATAGTCGTTTCTACGCTTCGCGTACCGACGAAATGAGTCATTTCGTTTTTATGGTTTCCGTAATGAGATTCACGAATCGTACGGCTCGTACGAATCGACACACCACCACGTCTGTGGTGTAAGGTGAAAACTGTAAGTCTCCCTGATGAGGAGCATGGCAATGTGATTGAGCCTATTTTGAATTTTGAGAGATAAGCAGACTCGAAACCAAAAGCTTTGTAGTGCAACACATGTGGACAAATTTCATAACAAGTTAATCGATAGGAAAAACCTCTGCTTTGCTTTTAGGATGAACTTGGTGCCGGAAATTGTTTTGAAGAGTCATTTTTTTGTGTGTGTTGCCTCCAGGGTAAGACCTGTCACAAATGACATGTATTTGGTGAAACAGATATTGCCGTGAAGCCTGTGCTGAGCAAGAATTCTGGCCCTTATTAGAGTCGATATTCTTCCAGGATAATAAAGAACGTTTCGGCATTGTATGCGAACGAAAATTCATCACAATTTTGAGTTTAAAAGGCCAGATGAAAACGGCAGAAGTTTTTATCGGAAAATAGAAGGCAATTAAAAAAGATAAGCATTTCAGTTTCTGAGTTGGTTTTTGACGTGGCGTGGGCTGTTGCTTTCCTTTCTATCCGTTGATCGAGTTTGTCAAAATCTTGTGATTATCTATTTCAATAGGTTGAATTACTAATCAGTGGACAAGTGTCAAGTATAACGGAGAGCTTTCTATGAATCTTTTAGCTTTCTGTTGATATAGGGAGTTGTATATTGTACAATTTAACGCCGTTAGCTAATGGCGTAAAATCCTTCACTAAATAAAACAACGACTATGTACAAATACTTATAAAAAAGAAATGACGCCGTTAGTTAATGGTGTAAAATCTTACAAGAGGAATGACTAAGGACTGAAAGAAATTACGCCGTTAGTTAACGGCGTAAAGTCTCCCATTAAAATATAATAACAATTCAAATAAAGTATAAAATCTCCCATCAAATATGGTTCTCACCTTCGTTGTTGTGTGTTCTGATCTTCCTCGTCTTTAGCAAAATATCAAATCCTTTATTAACGTCTCTACCTTTGCTCATTTTTCGCGATATAATCTTAAACCTGATAGAAAGTCTCAAGAATCTCAATCGTGTTTGATGAAGTTGCGCTGTGATATGTGGAAGTCCGAATAATGTCTAAGTAGGTTTTAAAGACCACGCTCAACCGGGATGCATTGCGGGAGTGGTGGCCTTTCTCTGTATTTTCTGTATTACAGAAAAGGAAAACCTACCGTGTGTGTAATATTATTCGACTGAAGCTTTGCAGTCTTAATAGAGATCCGGCTGTTTATACCCTCATCTGATTTCTTCATGTGTCTATCGTCTATTTACTACGTTCTTTGACGTTTCTTTTTGAGTTCGCTATAATGAACTGGAAAAAAAAAATAGTCCTGCACGACGAAAAGCCGCCTTATTACATGGTTGACTAGATCAATTCAAAAGCCCAGAATGAGCGAAATACAACTTTGGGATTTGGCAAGAAAACGAGCATAGAGTTTGTAGAGGTCCTGCTATACAGCATTTCGGTTGAAAGTCAAATGGAAATCCCCCCTCTGCCTCTTGGGTGACCGACCGACGAGGGGGGACGTTTACAATCGATCTCAAGCCTAATCTCATGTAAGGTTTTTGAGTAACCTTTCACTCGCGATGAGACAAATTCAGAGATACATTTCTCTTAGATATCATCTGGAAATCCCATATTCTTTACGCATGTTTGGAAACATTGTGAGTTTTTATTGAACGTGGAGCGTGATGAGTTTATTCATAGAAGCCGTTGCGCTTCCCTTTTACGAATCCTTTCTTCGCGTCTGATGAAGGACACGAATAAGAATTCAAGTATTCGGAAGTCTTCGTCTCTTTGTAATGCGTTTGGACGCGGATGGTCGATTCCCTGTTAAACCTCTCGCTTTCGTACACTTTTTGATTTAAGAATATAATTTCTGAGGCTGATATTTCCAACCGTCAATAGTGATTGTATCGAGGTACATATAAAGAATCAAGATAATATAATCTTTTGACAGAATGTAGCTCTTTGCCCGTCTTACAAATTCTTCTATTTTGTCTTCGGTTCTCTTCCACAGACAGAAAACTTCGTCAATATACCTCTTCCAAAGTAGCGATGTATTTGTGCTCCTAGCGATAATACCCATTTTCTATCTTTGCCTTGAGAATATTGGCAAAAGCCATTTCCGCTGTGGCATTCTTTGCCGTTTCCGTACAGTTTGTGAGAGAAAGTATCGAATTCCTGAATTATTCTTCTATTTTGTTTTTGGTTCTGTTCCAAAGACAGAAAATTTCTTCAATGTATTGTATTTCAAGTTTCAAGTTTATTAGGTCTTCCAATACAATTACTTACAACAAACGCCGCCTGCAAATAGTGAGCTAATCTAGGCGGTGTTCCATCATAGCAATTTAGTTTTGCTCTGAGTGATAACTCGCTATTTGATTTTTGCGATAAAAATATAGGTAAAAGCTACTGCCGTTGTGGTATTCTTTGAATTGGTTGTAGTAGCCAAGCACTTGTACTAGGTACAAGTGCTTGGCAGCCAAGTTAACTCGATCCTAGTTCTTGTCTTCGTTGGTTTTTCATTGCACTGGAGTCGAGGTCGGGAAGGCGCTGAATCGCTCTCACATTGAAGCTTTGAAGATGAGCATAAAAAGTTTCGTTTTGGTCACTTAGGTTTATCGGTCACATTCCTAAGACTCCTAACAGCTTTAATGCAAGTGGCCATTTCAGCTGACTCTTCTCAGCTACAACAAGGAAAAAATTGACAGAAATCATAGATCGAAAAGTTTGTATTCTGATAGGAGGTTCTATGATCAAACGTAATCGTTCGTCACAATTTACAATAACCTCCAGAAGTACAGAATCTCAACGCTCCAGGAAATCCAACCTAGTCGAACAAAAATGAAAACAAAATGGAGTGAACTAACACTCCTGAACTGAAATAGCCTGACAGAACGAATAACTACGAATTATTTGGATCCAGTGAGGGGGAAATTTAATGCGTAAACAAACCCGAACATGTCTTACTCCCGTCGAGTTCAGACATACTTAAAATGATTTCCCGCGTAGATATTGTAAAATCGAACGATAAAGGTATTCTTCTTCGTCTTCGTCATTGATCTACCTTTTTTAACAATAACGATAGATAAATTTACAGCCTCCCGGTTAGCTTTGCTGGTTAGAGCGCCGGATTGTGTTATACGGGAGGTCGAGGGCTCGAGCCCTGGCCGGACCAATACCCATGGTCTTAAAATAACCAAGGAGAATTTGCTACCTGTCTATAAGATCAAGAAAAGGATAGATATTCTGGTCTTCTCGGATAAGGAAAAATAAACCGTAGGTCCCGTCTGCTGCAGGGCTAGTGGTAGGAGACGTTAATTTCCCACGCACGAGATCACTGTGTGGTAGATGTCCTCCCTTGGTGTGGGATGGGTGGCTTGTTTAATGCAGTCCACGATGCTCTGTTGAGAGTGAGGACTTAAACAAGTAAATAAATAAATAAATTATAAGGCAAAAGAAATTTAATAAACCACCGCGCTAATATGAGAGGCCACCACACTTACAGAAATAAACTTAAAAAAAATGCTGCGAATTTACGGCTTGGCCAACTCAGTGATTATTCTTATATTATAGACTCAAGCATTTTCGTCTTGAGTCTGAGGAGACTTGCACTAACAAGCGAGTGAGAGATACAGAAAGAGACTGAGTTCTAAATTTGGAGAGGAGACACTGGTAAAAGGAATTGCAGTTGCTTGAGATTTGTCTTTGTCTGGAAGGAGTCCATTTTTTAACCCAAACACCCCAGTCAAACAGAAAATGCCCAAAACAGACGATTCAATCTCCTATTTTGAGATATAATCCAAGCATACCAGATGCTCGATTGAATTCTGCGAGATGTGTCACAGAAGGACACTTCTCAGACATCGAGGCCACAGGACGCCGTCAGTCATAACTTAATAAGGCTACTTTCCACCTTCGCGGGTGCCCTCCGGAAAAAAGTTCGTACGCGCACTAGTTTCAAGAAAACCCTAGTAAACTACACATATAAATAAGCTTAAAAAAGCAGTTTACAATAAAAATATGATTTAGGCGATTTTTTCATTTAGGGAGTGTCAGGAGCCGGTAAGGCGTGAAATGACCGAGGGTCCTTCCATTCTTCGTTTGCACGTGACGTCACACCTAATTATGCGATCTCTGAAAACCGGAAGTCGGCCACTGCTGGTGGACCAGTGCCGGATGCAAACAAAGCGAAGCAAAGACTTTTCGTCACAGTTGTTGAGTTTTTGTTGTTTTTTTATTCGGCCATGGGCTATATTTGTGCTGTCAAAGACTGCAGTAACAAAAAGAAAGGGGATTCTTGTATACAATATTTTCGCTTCCCCGCAATAAGAAAGAACGGAGGATATAAACTACGCATGCTTTGTGAAGATCGTCGACGACAGTGGTTGGCAAACATTCGGAGAAAGGATTTAGATGACAAGAAGGCTGAAAATACGCGTGTTTGTAGCGAGCATTTTGTTAACGATGAGTAAAAAAAAAAGGATTAGATTCATGGTTTAGAAAAATGCACGCGATACGATTTACGCAAAGATTTTTACGGACCTCAAGTTCATCGCACGCGTTATCATTGCATTTTAGGTTCGCCTTCTAGTGTTTGGGATACCACAGATCCTAACTGGGCACCAACTCTTAAATTAGGCCATGGTGATATATGCAATTCTTCAATAGCAGTTGAACGCAATGCTCGCGAGTAGTCGCATCGCTGCCAATTCTGAGAAAATTTCGTCACATTAACGAGAATCCATGTTATTTTAGTTAAATTTACTACTTTTTCATAACCTCCCAAGACATTTACGTCAAATTATTGTGAATATACAATAATTTGGTACTTTCCAGCGGCTCAGCCCTGCACATTCACGTCAAATTATTGCGCATATGGTATAATTTTGACGGCGCGACATTTGTCTTTAAGTGTGTTGTATTGTCAGCATCTCTACAATGTCCTATTGCATACGTGTGTATTTTGTCTGGTAAAATGATTCGTTTGTCATCGTCTGCAGATAGTGCAACCTTATTGATCTCTTCCATATACATCTCATGTTTTCGGCTCCGAAGTGTGTTCATTTTTCGCAGTTGTTTTTCACCACCAAACAGACATCTCTTGTAGTCATCGAAGCTAATCGTGCGATCTACCACTCCCTGCTTCACACCCTTGCACTTTTTCTTTTCTTCCCCATCATCAAACATCTTGTAGCTGTACAACTTAGCCCTCAGGCCAACAAACTCTTCTATGATCTTTCCACCTGCCTCATCCTTAAACATTCCAATCACCTTTTTGTTCACACCGGTCGGTATCCCAGAAGAGTGCCCCTCTCGAATGTTACTCGTGTCAAACAGACGGTCTACATCACTGGTTATATCTTTGTAAAAATCTGATGTGTGAATCTCATAACAAAGACTATCAGTGTCTGTGAAAAGAAGCTTTGATTTGTCATTTGGGTACTTAGGTTTGATGTAGTTGTAGTGAAAGTCCTACATCAATGTCTTACTGAGATCGAGGATGCTCATCCCAAGATAGAGTGGTTTATTGAAGACAATCTGCGTCTTTCCCATATGTATTGCGCAAAGTTCTTCAGAGAAGATGGTTCGGTGTTTGAAGTTGACCTTATTTGTCAACTTCTTTGCCTTCTCTTCTCTGGTAACAAGTCTCACGTCGACGCGTTTTCGAATGTTCTCCATGGTTTTGCCAAAGACAGCGTTGTTCATCAGCTTGTAGAAGTCTTTTTCAAAGTCATTCTTTGCTTTGGCTCTCAATTTTGTGTTCAAATCGATATACTCTTTCATCCAAGGACTCTCATTGAACCTAATGACGCGATGAATCTTTCCAATCTCTATTCCCAGACTCATGTAAAGCTTCAATGTCTCGTGATGAACGATGTACTTCTTCTTTTCGTTTAACGTGCAGACCAGCTTATGTACTTTACCAATCAATAGATTCTCAGGAGCGGGTGGATATTCGTTAAAGTGATCGTGAAGCTCTTCTTTGACGGCTTTTAGGTCGACTTCGAGAATGCAAGCGAAGCTTTCCCATTTTCCAAAATCTTTCTCGTTTACCCATTCGAAACCTCCCGTCGGCAGACTCTTACTCATCGCCCAACCGTAAAGGTTGTTTGCATCGAGATATGTGATAAACTTTGAAGGTTGGGTAGGGTCAAAGCTTTTTTCCATGTATTTGTTATTGGCTTTTGCATGCCTTGTCGAAATCATTGAAATCCCACCGCGAATGCCGGCCTCAAACATGTGCAACATATTTATATCACTCAGCAACTCAAGTTCTATCTCAGTCAACTTGAGACAAGCATCCCAAGCCAAACCCGGTGCGGTGAAGTACCAACAAGGATCGAGAGTGTAGTTCTCTTTGCAAAGTTCTCGAAAGTTTTCAAACACATCCGCCAGTAAAAGAACGTCGCTTCGATTGTAGAGATTGTGATAATCTCGGAATGTCTTACATCCAAAGACGCTCCATACATTTTGAGCATGGATATAGTCTTTATCCGAGATACCTTTACCACTTAACACGGAGAAGAAAGCTTCTTTCGGCGGAAGTTGTGTCTCATCAAGCTTTTGTATCGAGTTCACCCATTCATAGGGATAAACACCCTTTCGCATCAGCAGATTAAGCTTCTCTCCAGAATAATACTTTCTTGTGTTTTGGAAGAAAGACTCACCCTTTTTGGCAAGGTTGTTAACGAGCTTGTCAAGACTGGAAGCCATAAATTTGAAGCTGTCAATAAATCTCAACTCTCTCTTTACCTCGACGTCTTTTTCTTTTTCTTTGTTGAAAAACTTGTCAACCACAACGTGTTTCGTAAAGCTAATGTATTTCTCTTCGTTGTTGGGGATGCAATCAATGTCTCCTTCTGAAACACCAAGATTTCTAACGAAGAGGTGAGCGTCATAGTTTGCCAAGTTGTGCAACACGACAGGCGTGAATTTTGGTCGTTGGAATTTGAGATTGCAGCTGTTATGCGCGGCCCCTCGAAATTTGCCGGTGTAATGGCAATGATCGCTCACTTTGTCTTTCTCCTCCTCAAAATCTTCTCCACACAGCCAACAACATGTTGCGTTTTTAAATGCAACAACATCACTGTCTGTGAAGATCATCTCCTTTGTGGGATGATTTTTGTATATGCTCTTAACCTCCGCTTCAAGCGCTTCAACGAATGTTTGCGCCACATCTTCATCGTCAGACTTGGCTGTATACTCAACCCGTTTTGAGTATCTATCATCAAATGAACATTTGATGTAGTAACAAAAACTTATTGGAATATGTTGTTGCTTCCTCTCAGTGTAACACTCTTTCGGATCTGCTTGAACGGTGTCTAAAGGTTTGATTAACGACTCAAAGTCTGCATAGATGACGAATGGCATGTTCATCTGCTTCTGGTAATTCTTAAAAGAGAGATAAGTCCCCTCTTTTGGTACCCTCTCTCTCACAGCCTCGTGATCTTGGCACAACTCGCTGTGTGTGTCAAGAACTCGCTGAGAACCGAAATAATTAAGACAACTCCTACAGATAAACTTCTTATGCCCATTTTTTGATAGGCTACTCGATACGAGTCGGCTCAAATTTTTGATGAGGCAGTAATGCTTTTTGTCACCTTCAGTAATAAGAAGAAGATCAACTACATTTACAGCATGACCTCTGCTGCTCACTCTCAAGGGATTGAGTCCATTTTCATACATGTAAACGTTGACTCCTATCTCTGGATTCAACTTTTCAAAGCGACTAATGCTCTTCACCTCCATTGGAAACTCGATGCCATCCCACACAAATTTTTCTGCCTGTTTTTTCAAAATCTTTGTGATATGCTCAGGATGACTTGGAACAGGATTCAAAGCTCTTGTGACACACCACTTAAAACATTCATCATCTTTATTTTTCATATTTATGATCGCCTTCTTATTTGCGAGATGTTTTGGCAGCTTAATGTACGAAGAGCCTTTCAAAGGGGTGTACTTAACAGTATGCAAATCTAAACCCTCAACACGATTGAAAACCCATCCGCTCCCCCGTCTTTGAAACTCAGCCAAACTCTCCATCATTTTCTCTACACATTCATCATAAATTTCTTCTCGATCAGTCTCTTGAAAGACGATCTTTTGCGAAGAATTAAAATATGCAATCATCATCTCAACCTCATCCGTGATAATATTTTTCTTTACCATCTCACACCTAAAAATGAACTCTATCTTAATATTTTTCTGTGTATTCAAAAAGTTGATAACGACCGGTTTTACAACCTCAAGAAAATCCTTCGGTCCATAACCCCCCACCCCATCAATAGTGTACGTCTCTGTAAACTGTTTCAATGAAGACTCTCTCTCAACAAGTTTGAAACGGTGGTCATCCTTTTTGTAGAGTTTATTGATATATTGTTTGAAATCTTTCAACTTGTCATCAACTGCTGCTCGTAGTGTGTTTGACGTCTCTTTCAACCACTGACCCCAATCTTCAACCTTTTTTTTTCCCCAATCAACAACCTTATCAATCTTTTTTTCAGTTTGCTCATTTAACCATTTGTCCCATTCTTCATTTCCTATCCCACTCCAATCAACAGTCATAGGCTGAGTAGTAGGCTGAGTAGTAGGCTGAGCTCTTGACTGAATGAGCCTGATAAGCTCAGCTTTTCGAAGTCTTGAATAGCCATGAAGGCCTTTATCTTTTGCGATTTGACGAAGTTGCACAACAGTGTTTTTCTCCATTATGCAGTTATGTGCTTGCACAGTTATGTATTCTGTAAAGATAGTTTTGATCTCGAAAAAATTCTTTCTTATTTTTTCTTTCTATATTTTGTTTAAGTTATTTTTCTCACTTGTATCAAGTGAGAAAAACGTAAGTCTTCTATCTTTTTTTTCATTTGTAACTCTCAAATGAGAGAGAGTATCGTATTCCATGAATAACTATCTCATCTTTTTTTGTGTATGCCTTCAAACAGAGCCTTGAGGGGGTTATATTGAAGTGTTTTGAAGCCTTATATATCGTTGGAAAAACAAGCGTTTTTAGATCATTATGAGGTGATATAGGTGTTAATGTCACCCTTTTTTTCTTCGCAGACCCATCTCCTTTGCTTTTGCTAAAAGTTCAGGCTTGGAATATGTTTCAAGTTCATCCATATTAAAAATCCTTTCTGATATTTTCTTTCTAATATTTTGTTTAAGATATTTTTTTTCTCATTTTTCATAACTTCTGAAGTTCACTCACGTTAACCCACGAGTTGAATTTTTCTGGGTAACCACTCCATTTCACGAGAGCTTGTTTGCCCTTCTTTCGTATAACCTTTTCAATACGGAAGAAACCCGAAGGGTTTGAAAGGCTCTGCTTTGCCTTCAACATCTCTTGTTCGTAGAAAGTGCCTTTAATCTCTTCCCCAAGCAGATCCTTCAACTTGTAAGTGATGGGCTCTGTGTATTGTACCTCATCAACAACAAAGATCTCTTCAGACCAATTTGGGGTGTAGCCCTTATCGAACAGCTTTCGCTTGAATTTGGAGATTCGAACGTGGTCGCCGACCGCGAACTTTGGTTTTTTCCACCCCCTTTGAGCATCTACACCCTTTAGGTGTTCGCCGTATAATTTCAAATAGACAGCATTCTCATTCTTTTTCTTGGAGGCCTCTACAGGCGTCATACCAATCGATCTGTGTTTTGTGTTGTTGTACTTCTCGAGAATCTTTAGCAAAATGTCGGTGTACACCGTGTTGTTCTGTATGGTGAACTGCTTCCACATTTTTGTCTTAATCGTACGATTCCATCTTTCACACACAGACGATTTCTCTTCATTCTCTGTCGAGTACAGCTCAACACCTTTCGCTTTGAATAGATCTTTGACATGACTGTTGTAGTACTCCGATCCTTTATCGGTCCACATCTTCTTCGGCACCCGCCCCTCAGCAAATATCTGTTTGAACCCAGCTGCCACACTCTCACCCTTTTTATTCTTTAGGGGTACAATCCAACCATACTTGCTGAAAATGTCCAACACCATCAACAGATAACGATAACCCTTGTTCCACTTTGCAAACTTTTGCATCTCAACGAGATCAGAGCACCAAATCTCATCGATACCGTTCACGATAACGCGTCGCTTTGTAAAGTTTCGTCTGATGGGTTTATGAAGCTCATCTGCTAGACTCGTTAACGAGTCCTGCCAGTCCCTTTGGGACTTGGCTTCCTCTTCCCACCCTTGCGTGTCAAATTTTTTTTTCCACCCACACCCAGGCCTAGCTTCTGTTTGGTGTTGATTACGTTTCTCGCAAGCCAATGACCCCACTGCCTCTGATCATACGGTATCGCATCGAGTGCTTTCACCATCTTACGATCGGCCACATTCTTACACGCTTTTGGATTTGCCTTGTTTGCACAAACGCTGTAATCAACGTCATGCTGCATTGCAACTGCGTCACTCGGGCCCGCTGGTGGGTCATAGATCTCAAGAATTTCTCCTGTCGTTGGATTGTATCGAACCTGCTTGTCAAGGTCGTTGTAGGGCCCTGTATATTTGTGTCCTGGAAGAGTCCAACCTGATTTCGGTTTCGGTAGTTTTCCAATAGCTTTGTGAATATCAAAAGATCCACCTTCGTAAAGAGGATGTGTCGGATCATTAACACCGTCAGGAGCGTACATTGACATTGGTAACACTTGATTAACGTCGTAAGGGTTATAAACCCCTGTGCTTCCTCCACTTATCTTTTTACTCAAATCATTGGAAAAACTGTCAATGACCTGATTAACATATTTATCGGCCGTCTTTTTGAACTTATTCTTTGCAAAATCTGATTTGACAGCTCTCGCAACACCTTGCTGAGCCATGTTTGCCAATCCTTTCAATGCCATCTCACCCAAAGAATAACTATTTCCTACATCAAACAATGACCCACCGTTGTTTTTTTTTCCTGTGGCAAATGATACCTTTGTGATACCACACTCTGCACATGTTGATTTGATCATCGGTCGACCGTTTTTCGCAACCTCATGCCTTTCACTTCCAGGCACGGACTCGGTCTTTTTTCTCTGTTTGACACAATAAGTTTTCATTTTATAATGTGTAAACATTATAAAAAATTTTTTTTACATTAGCTCGAGCTCGAGCTCGAGCTCGAGGGGCTGGCCTCTCAAATTTCTTCAATAAAATTTTTGCGACATGTTTTTTTCACATTGTCGATGAAAAGAAAGTCAAATGGTTTCAGTCTTGAGAACAAATCTGCATCAAAACTGTTATCATCAGCGATAATTTTGCGATGACGCTTTTGTACGGGCGCGTACACAATCAAATGAGAGCAGTTTAATCTGATTGTGGCGGGCGTCCTGTAATAAGATTGACTCAGATAAATCGGTGAAATCAAATGATGTCTACCGTCAATAAAGTGAGTCAAGATTTTTTCTTGCACGTTTTTAGGAGCAGCGAGATCATCAAAAATCACAACCTTTAATAAGATTGACTCAGATAAATCGGTGAAATCAAATGATGTCTACCGTCAATAAAGTGAGTCAAGATTTTTTCTTGAACGTTTTTAGGAGCGGCGAGGAGATCATCAAAAATCACAACCTTTCTGTTTCCTTCCGGATACTCAGACGTGTCAAGAATCTCATCGGGGTTCATTATGTGCATAATATCACATCCATATTTCTGTGAGTGTCGTTGCATAATCTTTTGCAAATCTTGATACATCTCTTGATGAGGATTTTTT